TGAAATTTACTCTTAAAAATACAACAATGCTACACACTATCTTTTTACACCATCTTGGTGCACCATATAGACCATTAGATTAGTAAGTTCCACAGAATTTATTAAATATATAATGATTGATTGTGCCACATCAGGTAGTGTAAGAGAAATGGTGCATAAGGGTGGTGTTAAGAGAAGGTAACAAAATGGCATTGCTATCAGCAAGTGGGGGGTATTAATGTTTATAGAAGTTACCTGATTGTATTCTAGAATGGTAGACAGGGTCCCATTAGCTGGGATAGCAAAAGAGGAGGGAGAACCAGAGCATTCAATAGTTTGGAGGTTTGTTTAGAGCTTCAGTTTGCTCTCTCATCAAACTTCACTCATTCAAGGCAGATATTTCACTTATTTCCTTTCCTTTATCTCCTTTAGATTTATGCTGAAAAACTTCCTTAGGAATTCCTTCGTTGTTGAATTTCATTCTAGGGCAGCTAGACTAATTGTACCCAAAGATAATGCATGAACAACCAAGTTTAGGTTTCCATTGGTATTCCACCATAATTTCCACCATCAACATCTAGTTGTAGGTAAAAAGACTCCACAAGCTTGGTATTAGCCTTAACTTGAACACAAACTCTAGCAAAGGATATTCTCTTCTTATTAGCAGTAAGAGAATCAGCATGCAAGAGCTTGCCGACTGCACTAGCAATGCAACTCAACCCAACATCACTCCAGCATTGCAGAGGAACATCGTGCAGCTTAACCCACAGAGGTATCACATATTGATCCTCTTTGGAGAGGATTAGGTCAGCATGCCATTTTTTGAGGATAATTGGCCTACCTGAGAAAAGCCATGGACCCTTTTCGAAAACCTTAGTTCTAGAGATATCATCCATAAATTTGAAGAAAAATAACCCTTTTCCATCAGCAAGAACTTCGAGAAGCCCCATTCTGTCCCATATCCTATGTGCAATATTATTAACCACCGAGTAAGGAAGCTTTTTCTCAACAACATACCCAACCAAGGATGTCTCCCATTCAAGGCATCCCTTGTTTACCACTTCCTTGGATGGTTTAACCACAATGCGTTCATTGTCCTTAGTGGGTTCAAATACTGCAACTTCATCTTTGGGAAAGACTTTCCTATATATGGTTTCTGAGCAGCATCATTTCCATGCTTAACAACTTAACTCCAAGAACCAACAATTGTCACTGGCTTTTCCTGGTTTTGAGGGGTTTCAACAACCAGGTCATCAGTAGTTGTGGAGAGAGGAGCATTTAGAGTCCCTTTAGGCAGAACATTGATAGCGAGGGGGACAATTCCTCCATTACTGGAACCATCAATGCTATTCAAGGCTGGAACAGGGGTGGTAATGACACCTCTGTCATTTCGCACATTCACACCCAACGAGTGGGAAAGAAATGTAGATGCGTGGGGATTCATAAGAAATTAAACAGGGGAAGGAATACAGGAGCAAAGAAAGCATTTTTGGGAAGCATTTTGGGAAGTTTTGGTGGTGGGGCTGGTTCTGGTGGGAGTGATGGTGGCGGCGGTGGACATGGTGCATGGGGGTGGTGGTGGTGGAGGAGGATTAGGTGGAGGGTCTGGTTTTGGAGCTGGTGACAGATTTAGCAAAAAGAAAACAATGATCTAGGAAGATCTATACAAACCCATATCCAAAGAAGAAAACTAAGATCCAAAAGAAAAACCAGATCAAAAAGAGAAAACAAACCCAGATCAGTGGCTTACCTGCGTCACCAGAGATGTACCTTCATTTCACCGGAGCAGAGAGATCTAGATTTGATACGAAATCATCAGATCGAGCTAATCTCTATCTTTTTCTGCCAAACATTCACAACAGTACTCTTTGAAGTGACCTGGGTTTTTAAAAATGAGTTGATTTCATTTTGTCATATATATCCGTTGTAAATTACTTTTTTTTTTTTAACTGCAATCATTAGAATAATTGCTGGCTTATCAATGCAGATAGATATATATATTTTTTATAATAGACTATTCTCTTAAAAAAACTTAGAACACACATATACATGAATTACATGTACTCTTAATAAAGACAAACAGTCTTATTCATGCACATGCTATCCAATATATGAATTGTGAATTTATATTTTTGTCGAAAAATAATACACGTGAGTGACAAGTGAATCAATTTTTAACAGAATTTGAAACAGATATTAGTTTGAGAGTTACATTAGAACTAATTTATAACATTTAAGGTGCAATGTGAGAAAATTAATTTATCAGGTTATAAAGTAGAAATTGAGATATTCTTCGGTGCGAAAAATCCTTAAATAAATTGAGATTGTTTTGAAACAATTCTAAAATTTTTAGGGATTTATCCCAAATAACCTCATTGAGTTGTATATTCACCCTCAAGGTGGTGTTATAACTTGACCTTCAAATATAATTATTTTTTGATATTGTAGACAAATTAAATTTTCGATGGCCGAAATTTTACAAATAAAATTAGGAATTTTAGTCAACTTCATGCTAATCTTTTCTTACTTTGTTTAAAGTTGGAAAATGTATGATAGCCGTCCATTCTCATGCTCTTGGACCCAATAATTTGGTCAAATGGTTATTTTCCGTTCATGCTCTATTCAATTTCAAAGTTGGATTCGTGTTGTCCGCTTTGCGCTAAGAAGGAACTTTTTACCAAATCGGTTGCAAAACAATTCCCATCCATATTTCATCTAATAGGTGTTAATTCTCATTTATATGCAGTTGATGCTATGGTGGTAGTAACCCCGAGCATAGACTATTGACGTCTATGAACTAATATCCTATTGTTCTTAGTTTTGAGTTGTCTAACTACTAATTTGTGGTCTTCCCTATTCATTCTTTGCATCGTCAGTGAACGTGAGTGTGGCGTAGTTGCGTAAAATTCTACTAGTTCCATGTGTAATGAGTTTGATTCATTTACACGAAATGTCCACTATTGGCATAATACTCTTTTAGATTAGTATATTACTCACTTTTATAATCATTGTCTCTTTCTTTTAATAACCACATTCGTTTTCGCACCCAAATGACTTATTTATCGCAAATATACAAAACTGCTAGCACAAAAAATTGTAAAGATTTTGTGTTGAAGACGTCAGTTAGACTGACTTTTTTAAGTTAAAGACAAAAGTTGAATTGACGCATTTAAAATGTATTTAGGTTTGGCCACTTGGACTTCGTTTTGTAGCCAAGATTTTGAGATCAAAAATGGCTAATAAAAAAATATTGGTTTTCTACATTTTTTTCTGCGTGGTTCTCTTATGAATTTAGCAAATTAATAACAACTAATATTTCTTAGAGCTTAACTACATACACCTATATCAATTAAATATTTCCCAGGTGACAAAAAAAAAAGTATTTCTATGGGCAACAGAAACAAAAGCTAATCAACAATAAATAATATCCATGTTCTCACTTATTCGGTTTGTCAGTCAACCACTACATGGGGCATGTCTTTCGTTATCTCAATTAGGGCCAAAGATACCGTAACTGAAAGTCGTTGTTAGAATTTCCACTGTAGTAGAAACCATCCTCTGTAACTTTCTAATAGCAGTTCCTACTTGGTCGAGAAGTTCTACCTTCATCGTTGGCCTTGAAAACATCGAAGCTGTTTTGCTTTCTATTTCATCTCATATTACAAAAGAAGAGAATTCATACGAAAATGCCAAGTGAATTCATTTCCCACGTAAAGAGTATGCTCGCCAAGATCATCGTCTTTAGGCTGACAACAAATAATCAATGGGTTTGTGTTGTTTTTTAGGCCATTGATGACATGAACCTTATACGTTCGTAAGCCAATATCGACGTCATTCCTTTCCGCCGACGTCGAACTGCAAACTAAGAAAATAGTCAAGACAAGAAATACAAAAGAGAAGCTTGAACTACTCATCATGCGTCAATGGTGATAATGTTCCTGTTTCTCATATCCTTCAATCTTCCCCATACTATAAGAAGGCCTAAACACAAGATTTATATGGTAGACCATTTATGGAGTTTTTGACTAAGTTGCAATTCTTTTATAACTTTATCCTCGCTTTATCGTATTTTTTAACTTTACATGGTAGATCATTAATGAGACTTGATATTCATGCTCTGTCTCTCACCCAATATCTTGGTCAAATGAATGTAATGTTTCTCCTTTTTTTCCAGGTAAATAAGATGTCTTCTATTAACCAAAGAGTAATACTATTTAGACATAAAAATTTGATCTAATTTATTAATATAATGATATAGTTTTATTGTAACCATAGATTATCACCGATAATCAATGATCATAATGACCCATTCGATTGCAGTCTACTAGATTTGGAGGGAGCGCAACAATAGGATCCATTCCAACCTCTATAAAGACCCTCATTCTTTCTTCAAGATCATTGCGCAACTTATCAGGAATAGAATGACCTCCCTAAAGTTCAAGCCTTCACAGCAGAATCACTTCCTGACTCAAAAGTTCAAGCCTTCACAGCAGAACCACTCAAAAGTGGCAGTTCCCTGCTCCTTGTATCAACTTTGAAATCGTATGGCAATTTTTTGTTTTCCACAGGCACAGTTCTTGTGCCTAGAACATGTTTGCTAAATTTGTCTGAGGTACCCCTAAATGAGCACCTCTTATAGTTTTAAAATTTTTTGTTACTTTTGTCAATACTTGTAGATTTAAACCTAGAAATCTTCCAATGCTGTTAAGTGGATTGCATATACCCAGTAATTAGCATAAAACTAAAATTACCAACTGCCTACCTACTTTTCAAACACAGGCATGCGCAACTAATTAAGAGCTTCCTAAAAAATTTGATTTACTAGTTCCTTATCTGTGAGTCATCTTTTACTTGGTCTATGCACTTTAATGGCGGAATGGTTAACAATTACCTCTAATGGAGTGCTTCTGGGTTGAGCTCATTTACTTGATGTCTTTTTCTGATCACTTTCTGCCTCTAAATTCACCTGTTTCCTAGCAGTTTCTCTTTCTAAACTTGAATTGTTTATTTTATTTTGGGAAATGGACGAGCATTTTGATAGTCCACCGGGGGAGGGGATGGACGAGGACTTGGATCTGCCAGACGAAAGGAAGGTTGGGACACTCCTGAGAATGTTGATGAAGCACTTGATCAGGTATATAAGACTACCAACTGAACAGATCCATCATATCCAATGGTCGATGGATTGGGGGCATCATGTCCACCCAAATTTCTGAAGAAATTCTTAGTTGCACTCAAGGCAGGACCTTGTTGCTTCTTGGTGACTGACTGGTAGAGAACTAGTCCAACTACATTTGGAAGAAACTTTTAGGTGCCCATCACATGTTGAAATTTTCATTTCATTTAAGCTTATTGCTCTCTCCATATAAGGGTATCCACTAGGTTTGCAAGGCAACAACAATGACCTATCTACCTTGCACGTGTAGGTAAACAACAACCAACTTCATTCTCTCTTCATTGTTTCATTGAACCTAACTAGTATGTCGTTGAAACTAGGTCTGACTGGCTGATGTATCCGGTTTTCTGTATAAGTTATGCTCAGCCCGTTTTGCTTTGTCATTAGAACATTTTTGTTGGAATCTCTCTCTCTCTCTCTCTCCCTCTATCCACTGTTCAAGAAAAGCTCATTTTTTGTGGGTTAACAGTCCTTGTTCTCTTACACTTCCCTCAAACTTCCAGGGGGAAAGCAGAATCAGCACTGTGACCTTTCCCTCTGCGACGATGTCCAAAACATCAGTTGTCTTTTCCGACTAA